TTTTAGCACCATCATCTTTAGCCAAAAAAATATTCTTCAAATTCCAATAAAGTAAGATGCTAAAACCGAAATATCCAATCTTGTCCCAAAACTTCCAAAGTAACTTCAAATTATCACTTTTTTCAATCTTGCTAAAAAAATTCCAGAAAATCTTCATAAAGCCTTTCAAGTAAATGTTCCAAAAGTTCCAAAAATAGCCTTGAAGATTAAACCATCTATTAATGAACTTAGAGCCCTTAGATAAACGACCGATGGAAATATGAATAATAGGATCAATTCCGTCAATTCCTTTGTTTTTAGGGTAATTCCGAAAATACCCTTGAAGGCTAATTCCAAAAAACTTTAGAATAAAACCTTCAAAATCCACATCAAAGGTAAAAATACCAATGATAACCGAGATAAACCAGTTGGCAATAATTATTTGGTAAAACCAAAGAAAGGAGATGTTCCAACAGTGGTTGTTTTTATGAAGACAAAGGAAACAACCAACCCAAAGATGGTACAGTCTAAGGTTAACGTACCCAATCCAGTGTATTGTCGGGTAAATATCCCACCACTTGCTAATCGAACTAGCAGTGGCACCCACCAAAGTGGAGATTCCTAGTTGCCTAGGAAGAAAAATCCAACTAACAGGGATCAAACCCATTTGCATTAAGGAAATAACCACTTCAACGGAAAAAAATCCATTGAAATCTGGGATAAACCAGACAGCATAAATCAGAACAAGGTCCCAAAAGGACAATAAGTGGTTGTTTTTATAGTGACAAAGGAAACAACCAACCCAAAATGTGGTACAGTCTAAGGTTAACGTACCCAATCCCGTGTATTGCCGGGTGAATATCCCACCACTTGTTAATCGAACTAGCAGTGGCACCCACCGAAGTGGAGATTCCTAGTTGCCTAGGAAGAAAGCACCAACTAATTGGGATCAAACCCATTTGCGATAAACGATCAACCACTTCAAAGGAAAGGATTCCAATGAGGTCCGGGATAAACCGGACAGCAAAAAGAAAAAAGAAACCCCAAAAGGAGTCAATGTGGTTGTTTTTATAAAGATAAACGAAACAACCAACCCATATGTGGTACAGTTTAAGGAAAACGTACCCAATCCCTTGTATTAACGGGTAATTATCCCACCACTTGCTAATCGAAATAGCAGTGGCACCCACGAAAGTGGAGACTCCAAGTTGCCAAGGAGTGAAACAACTAGTAATGGGGATAAAACCCATTTGCACAAGAAAAACCACTTCTAAAGGAAAAATCCTAAAGAATATCAGGATAATACCGATAAGCAAAGCAATTTTAAAAGGAAAATTGTTGAACCCAATACCGTCAATTCCTTTAATCATCAAATCCATCATGGTTCTTTTCTCCAATGGGAATACCCCACTTCTTCTTAACTTCATTATCAAATCCCATAAAGCCACCCTTGAGCCCAATAAGCTTAAGACGAATTTGTTCAAAGATATACAAAACAACTTTCATCTCTTCGTTCTTTCCTTTCCTAAAAAGCCTGTTATTTCTTTCTCTCCAAATGTGATATACAGAAGCAGCAAAATGCAATTTTCATAATAAAGACTTAAATACTTTTACCCTTAAACAAGCACTGAAGCTCATCAATCAATTCAATCCAACTATGGGATTCATTCCTAATCTCCACTCTATCTTTCACAGTTTTCCAAACAAGAGCAGAAAAGGGGCATTCAAAAAACAAGTGAGAATGCGAATCTGGCTGATTATTACAAAGGACACAATTTAGATTTTAAATCTTATCCCAAAATCTTATTCTATCCTGGGTCATAAGCCTTCCCTGAACAGCAAGCCAAAGAATGAAACTATGTCTTGGAATTTGATGCTTAAACCAGACCAGGTGGACCCACGAAACCTCAGGACCAAAATCAGAAAGATCATCACAAACTTTCTTTATACTAAAATCAATCAATCTCCCGTAATTATTCCTCCACATAACTTTATCGGACATCAAAGAATTAAGAACAGGAAGTTGGAAATTCCTTAATTGAGGAATAAGATCATACCATTCACCAGGCCAGAACTAAGAATCATCAACCATAACATCTCTGACCTTATCAGAAATACTGAACCCAGCTTGCGAAACTTCTCTAGGAGAGATAACATAAGATAAAGGTCCCAGTGGATGCCAATCATCAAACCACATAAACGTGGTAGCTCCATCACCAATCTTATTACAAAAATGATTACGAACCACATCCTTTAACTTGATTAGATTTCGCCAACTCCAACTAAGCCCATTCTTTTTCTCAATGTCCTAAAAGCTTCTACCTTTTAAGAGATTAATCTTGACCCACTTAACCTATAAAGAATCAAAATCAGAAAGAATCATCCAGATTTGTTTTGAAAGAATAGCTTTATTCCACATTCTCAAACTTCTAATACCCAACCCTCCATTCACCATAGGTTTATAGATAGAAGACCATGCCACTTTAGCTCTTCCTTTTTTCGATTCATCATGGTTCCACAAAAAATTCTTCATCAGTTTTTCAATTTCCTTGATGAAACTAATAGGAATAAGCATATTGGAGGCCTAGTAAACAGGAAAAGAAAGAAGAACTGAAGAGATGAGCTGTAATCTTCCTGCATAAGAAAGGAACTTATTCCTCCAATCACCAATTCTTTTCCTGACTTTATCAACCAACCTATTGCAATCCCTGATAAAGAGTCTGGTAGAAATCAAATGTAATCCCAAATAACACATAGGTAATTTACCTTCCACAAAAGAAAGAGAATCAAGAATCTTCTTCTTTACATTGACCTTAACATTTCCGAAAAATATATGACTTTTAGCAAGATTAGGAAGAAGCCCTGCTACCCCAATAAATTCATCAAGCGCCACTTTGATCACCCTAACCGAGGCTATATTACCATGACAAAATATCATCAAATCGTCCGCAAAGCAAAGATGGGTGATCTTTTGCTTTTTACAACTCCAATGATACTTGAAAATTTTCTCATTAAGAATCTTTCTTTGAAGAATCAGATTAAAAGTCTCTATCACAAGCGTGAAAAAATAAGGAGAAAGCGGACATCCTTGCCTGAGCCCACACTTACCTTCAAAATACCCATGGAAGGAACCATTTATACTTAGCATTAATGATGGAGTAGTCACACAACTCATTATCCATTTAATCATGACAGGGTAAAATCCAAAGAAGAAAAGTATGTCCTGGAGAAAGGACCAATTAAACTTATCATAAGCTTTTTGGATGTCCACTTTCATGGCACAACGAGAGAAACCTCGATCACGGTGATACCCACGAACTAATTCTTGAGATAACAGGATATTATCTATGATTGATCGACCAGGAATGAAAGCAGACTGATTATTTGAAACAATGAAACTCAAATAATTTCTTATACGTCCAACAATGATCTTGCTTATACACTTGTATATAACAGAGCAGCAAGATATCGGCCTGTAATCACTAACTTTCCCAGGAGTATCAATCTTAGGAACTAAAGCTATCACAGTAGCATTGACTTCATTAAGCAATTTCCCATAACATAAAAATTCCTTAACAGCTTGACAGAAATCATTTCCAACAATATCCCACATAGATTTAATTTTTTTTGCAGAAAATCCATCAGGCCCCGGAGCCTTGTCATCATCTATGTCAAAAAGAGCACTCTTTATTTCCTCATCAGTGACCACCTTAACCATGTCAGCAGCATGCACAAAATCAAGCTTTTTAGAAAACAAAGAATAAGGATTATCAATTTCAGCACAAGGAAACTCAGTCCCCCAAAACTCACTAAAATATTTAATGAAAACAATAGGAACATCTTCACCCTCAAACCATTTCCCCTCTTCATTCAAGACAGCTCTAATACTGTTCCTATTAATTTTGCCTTTTACAATTTTATGGAAGAGTTTCGAATTGTTGTCACCCTCCTTTAACCAGCCCACTTTCGCCTTTTGCTTTAAAAAACATTCTTCTTCTGCATAAGCCTTGTTAAATTCATTAAGAAAAATAGCCTCCAAATCCCTAAGCTCAGGATTAAAAGGATCTTTATCAAGATCAGCTTGCACATCATCAAGTTCTTTGCAGCAATGAGCAACCTTCTCAGACAAATGGCCTTGATCTCTGAATAATTTTCGAATTGACTTTTTAAGAACTTTGAGTTTTTGAACCAAGCAAAACATCTTAACTCCATTAACTTCATAATTCCAATGATCTTCAACCAAAGGCTTTAACTTAGAACAATGAGCAAGAACATTGGGAAACTTGAAAGGCAAAACTTTAAACTTCATCTTCAAAGGAATTTTAATAATCAGAGGGCTGTGATCAGAAATACCATAAGGGAGAAAAGAAGCATATATGGAAGGGTAGTCCTCAATCAGCCTACTGTTTCCCATCACACGATCTAGTTTCTTTAAAATGCCATTATTTCCACAAGGCTTTTGATTCCAAGTGAAATTCAAACCATTGCAGTTAATATCTTGAATATCAAGACTATAAATGCAATCAAGAAAATCCACCATGCCTTTAGAAAATCTAGACAAGCCAACTAAACTTTCATTAATATTAAGAATGACATTAAAATCCCCTCCAATAACCCACAGATCATCTCTAACAAAGCTCTTATGATGCTTTAACGAGGACCATAAAACTCTTTTATCATTATACTTGTTGGCAGCATAAACAAAGGAACAAAAAACATAATTATTATTGTGATGGAAACTAACTTTACAATGTAAAACTTGGTCATTTTGATCAATCAAGTTAACATCAAAGAGATTAGAATTCCACCCAATAATAATACGCGTAGTATTTCCAGAAATACCCTTATTGGCAATCCACTTCCAAGATCCAAAGATCTTATCACACTTCTCTTGAAGTTTGCTAAAACTAACTTGAGGTTCAAGAATAGCAAGTAAACTCAACTTATTCTTCTTAATTAAGTTTATTAATTCTTTTTGCTTAGGAGATTGATTAAATCCCCTAATATTCCAAATTCCAAAGCTAAACGTCATTGGAAAAAGCTTCCATGTTGGTATCATTCAAAAGGATACCTCTAATAACTTCCATTTGATCAACAGTGTCCAGATAATCTAAATTAACTTCTGCAACACCCCTATTTGAAAAAACAAATTGATTCTCCTCTTCCAAGTTCTTTAAGACATCAAACTTGTTATTAGAAAAAATCTTCACTGGACCGAGATCCTTGTCATAATGGGTTTTCTTATCAAAATTTGAGCTAATCTTAATATCGGGACCAGATCTCGGAACATACTTTTGCCCAATGTCAACTTTTTTCCCCATATCCTCTTTCTGTTTTGAATCCTGATTACTTTTTTCCACTGAAACAGCCCCTGCAATGCTCTTTTTTTTTCACAATATAATTATTTTTACTACTATGCCCCTATTCAAATTTTCCGCCAGAAAACTACCCATCTTGCTGTAATTTTTCCCATTATACCCCTGAATAGCTTTTCCTTTATTCCATTGATTCCCCCCATTGTTATTTCCCGATTTAATACCATAATTCCCTTTTTGCCCCTGACTTCCAACATTAATACCAGTCCCGTTTTTTCCATTTCCTTGATAATTCCCATTTTGCCCCTGAACCGAATTCTGATTCGTTTTCCCCGTTTCCTCCTTAACCTGACCACCCGAGTTATTCCCCTTATTTCTCTTGATAACAGATTGAAACCCTTCATTATCCTCTTCCACTTTTTTTGTACTAGCAATGAGAACCTCCATTAAATCAACTTTAATTCCATCCTTATTTTTCTCATTTCCATTCACATTATTACTTTCTTTAACTTCCTTAGCTAATAAGATCACGCACGTAGAATCCTTATGCCCATAAACCTTACAATGAGAGCACTTAGAAGGATTCCAAGCATATTCAATCTTACATTCAGAAAGAATTATGTCACCAGTGGTTAAATCCGAAGAGTAAACATGCACCTCTTTAAGCCAATCTTTAGCTGCAGACATTTCGATTAAGATTCTCATGAAAGCCGGTCTTCCCCAATGCTCTTGACACATTTTAGCAGTATGAGCATCAACATCTAATGGTTTTCCAATCTACGAAGCTATATGACCCAGTCTTGTCCCATTCCAATATTCCAACGGGACATTATATATCTTTACCCACACAGGAATCTTGTCATTCTGATCTTTAACTAAACTAACACCGGTAGTCCATCTTCGAATAATAAGAGCACTATCAAAGATCATCCAAACTCCCCCTTCCAAAACAGACAGCAACCCTTGTTCTGAACTGAATCGAAAGAAATAAATCCCTTCATCATTTACCATTACCTCTTCCAGACCATATTTTTTTCCACATATTGTGAGCAAACTTGTTAACATTGAAAAAATTAACATGTTTATCAATAAAATAACCATAGAGCGTGGTTTTGAAAGGGCTGCATCCTTTAAGAATATCACTTAAAGGCATTTCCACAATTCCATCTGGAAGTTCAACATTCTTTTTAACATTCGATATAAGGTTGGCAGCATTAAGTTTCTTCCCGCTCACTTTTTCAGCATAAGACACTTTTCCATCATTTTTTTACTTCCACAGCAAGAAGTAAGGGAATTGGCTTCTCCTCTTTACCCTTTAGATTTCTTGACTTCATTTGCTCCAGCATACCCTCAGTTATAAGAAGACCACCATTGCAATTATAACCTGTTGTTCTAATCTCTTCCTTTCCATCAATATTCATTTGAGCATCAAACTCCTTCTCATCAGCATCAACATACTTGAATTTAAATTCTCCATCATTAGCAATTTCAAGATGACTAAACTTCCTTGGAAAGTGATAGACAATTTCATTACAAACTTGTTCAAGCTGCTGACTAACCATCTCATCTATTTCAATCTTTTTTTTAACCTTCTTCTCCTTAACCTGTGACCGCATAGAACAAATTTTCTGAAGATCAACAATCACAGGTTCCTTACAGTTCGAAACAGGGACTCCTTCAGGGATAATGTTTAACACTGTTTCACCAACTTTCTATAATCCATCAGAAGCTTCAAGATCAGAAGTCTTCTTCATATCAACCGCCACATGAAACAAGGTAGAGGAAGGTTTGAAAGGCACTCGGTTCTTCCCAAAATTAGCTTCCACTTGTTTTTTAATTTTTCTAGTACAAAGTTTATGAAACACCTTCTCCTTCTGCTTTTGATTAAGATCTTTCCAATTCATCAGGATATCATTCCTTTGGCTAACAGAAGAGAGTTTCCTAATTTTATCAATTGAATCATCAAAAGAAGAATCTATCTCACCTTCATTGTTGTATTTTTTCTTGATAAACCTTAAACCATGTACAAATCCTTCTTTCTCATTCGTAGATAATCCATTCCAAAAAAGCATCATCGCATCCTTCTCTCCTGGACTACATAATTGAGTAATATCATTTTCAAATTCACGAACAGGGGAGCTCAGACCTTCAATCGATTCTTCCTCCTTCTTAATGGGGGGATAATTAATCAATGGAGCCATTGAAGGAGCAAAGAAATTGACTACAGAAGCATTGGAAGGATTCTCGATCCCAATCCCACCATTATCGATATTATCAGTTTTGTCCGCATCCTTAATCTCAGAAGAATTGACATCAGAATCAAATTTTTTGACCAGTAACGAGACCGAATTAGGTTGAATAGGGCTAGCAATCTTCTCCTGAATGATTATAGAAGATTTCTTTAACCTTAATCTTCGTGTTCGCATTTTTTCCTTTTTTCCTCATTATTACGTCGGGTTCCAGATCTGGAGGAACACCTTCCATGAATCCGAACAAGTGGTATCCACAGAACAAGGAGATGAAACCGAACAAATTAAGACCAAAATCAAAGAGAATTGTTGCCGGAGTAATGATCGGTGCCAGAAAAACAAAGGGAAAACCGAGGAATCGCCAGAGAAGAGAGAGAAACGAGTTTAGGGTTTAGGGTTTAGATTTAGGGTTTAGGGTTTAAGCTTAGGGTTTAGGGTTTAGGGTTTAGGGTTTAAGCTTTAAGGTTTAGGGATTAGATTTAGGGTTTAGGGTTTAGGTTTAGGGTTTAGTAATGTTCACTTGGGTGAAGTAATAAACGATAAATGAGGAAAGAAAACAAATATGGTAAAACAATAATGAAAGAAAGAAATGTTATGGAGGATGATATATTTACCAAGTGAATAATCCAAATACATTAATGAGTGGTGACAAATTTGTAAATAATCAAAAAACATTAAACCGTCAGGGCACTTGAGTAATTTGATATCACGTCAAATCTCGATAGAAAAGCACCATTTCCTTCTTCGATACACCATAACTCAAAAACCATTTGAAGAAGAATCGACAAGAAGAAACAATTTGCAGAAGCATCAGATAACATAAACGAAGAAAAATGTCTTCCGATGAAAACATGAACGAGACCATTTCCTCACTCTTGACAATGAAAGGTAACCATCGGTGTTTTTTCTCGAGTTTTTAACGATTTCGAATCATTTCTAAAATTATCACTTGATTACTTGAAATTTCTCGTAATGTTCGAAAATTATTAGGTTATTTAGAACTAAAAACATTGTTTTCACACTGTTCATCCTTCAAAAAAGGTTGTTTACTTCAATTTTACTTGAAATTTATGATACTCGTTCATTCTCGTAACCCTCCTTCGTTATTACTTTATTTACTTGAAATTTTTGTAAGAATCATCCATTATTATTTGATATATAAATGATTTTACATCATCTCTTCATTTTTCATCTTTATTCAAAACTATTCTGTCAAAGTACAAACGTTACTTAACATTTTGCTTATGTTTTCTTAATATTAACTACTTACCCTTACAGAAACGACACCAACAGTGAAGAATACATATAAACGAAAACCAAGAACAAATCAAAAAGGTAAATAAAATATGTTTTGTTTACTTCTGAACACAAGAAAAACTAATATTCATTTGTGAATATAAAAAACATATTCATATGTGAATAAAGAAAATATGAATACATATGTTTTATTCAAATATTCATTCATGAATATGTATGTTACATTCACATAGAACATAACTTACTGCCATACATACATTATTCATATGTGAATACAACAGGAATGACTTATATATGTTCTATTCACATATGAATATGACAAAACATATTCATATGATAATAAAAAAATATGAATACATATGTTTTATTGTAACATACACGTTTTAAAATCGTGTTTTTTAATGAATAAAATTGTGAAATATTATGTAAAATTGAGTGTTGAATTCTAACAGATGGTTTTTACTAGAAATGAAGTAAAACTATGTTTAGAATCACTCAGAAAATATTGGAAGTCTTATAAGATTCCAATTAAAAGCCAAATAGTGAAATTTAGCGAAAATATGAAATTTTAAATAAGTAAAATTTTATTATTTGATGTTGTAGAGAATCTCATTAGAAAATTGTAGGCAAAAACCTCGTCAAAATCCGAGTTATAACGAAGAAGTTATGACCAACCGAAGATCCGCGACAAAACCGACACGGCGCTGAATGACGTAAAAAGTGAGTTTTTGATAAACTACTTTTTAGCCTTAGTAATCTAAATAAAAGTCATAGTATTCGTTAAACCGAGAAATTCGATAAAAAGAACGCCAAAATCTGACTTCGTATGAGGAAGTTATGATTTTTCGAAGTTTCAACTTAGCAGTAGACAACTAAAAACTCGAATTTTAAATCGAGCGATATTTTACCGATATATCCTAAACGAGAATCGAAGGTCTCTTCATATGTAGTACAACGGTAAAAAGCATGACGAAAACGGATGTCGGATGAAGAAGTTATGAATTTTTAACGGATTTTCCTGTCCCGGTTTGTTAAAAATAATAATATTAAAATTAAAGTCAAAATTAGCCGACGAAGTCTAAATGAAAGTTGAAGAGCGTAATTTTAGCTACGCGTGCATATAAAGAACATCAAAAACGGAGCTCGTATGCGAAACTTATGGATTTTAGAAGTTCAGGGCCCGAAAATCGAAGAATTTCGCATGAATAGTAACCGACCACGTCACCTCGCACGAAGCAGGTGCGTCACCAGAGACGTGGACCAGACTGAGCTTCCTCGCTGCTTGCTTCTGGAGACCGACGCATGCCGCTCACCGATTCGACCGAAGTGCGACCCAATCAGCTTCCGACGCGCCTCGCTGCGGTGTCCGAGTCTCGCCCCTCCACGTCGTGCTTACCCGCCTCGCAGCCGAACCTCGCATCCGAGCCTCCCCTCTTGCGCCACCTGCTTCGCTCCGCTGCTACCACCAAGCTGCGCTACTTAGCCAACTCCGAACCTCTGCCCTATATAAAGGGGGCTGCGAGATCTTCCGACTAACTTTGAAAATTTGCCACCTTTAGCCCCTCTTTCCATATTTTCTTCATATTAACTTTCCCCGAAGCCCCGAAATCAATTTTAGCACCTGAAACACGTCCCGAGACCCCCGAGAAGCCCATAAATTTTATCTTTTCGGTTTTGAAGCCCTACCTTCGCAGAGCCTGGTTTTCAATCAAGCTCCTGGTTTTCAACATTGAAAGGCATATTTAAAGTCGAAGTGCTGTCCAAATTACTATTTTAACCCCCGATTAACATAAGGTGAGTTCAATATATAGGAACAATTGTATGTTATGTGTTATATGTGCTATGTGCTTTTCAGTATTATCATTTTGAGTTATTTTCTCGTGTTATTTGCTATGTTTATAGCAATTGTAATACCTTTGACCATGTGATCAGTGAAAGGACTTAGATTCACATTGGTACTAGTACGTAGCCTCTGGCCATGTAGAGCATGTCTAAGTAAGAGAATGACTTCTATTCTATGGCATTGGCAAATGGTTAGACAGGACTATAAGCCTGAAATCTAACAAGATGTTAATCAGAAATTGCATGTCTTCTATGCCATTTGGGCCAAAGCTTTATTGATGTATATCAAGAATTGAAAAGAATATCTTTGAATAATGTCTTTGATTGATATGAACGATTGTCACATGATCTCACATACATCTTGTTGTTCCTCTTTGCTTTGCCACATTGAAGTATATATATATATGGCATAACATTTTATTGTATCTATTTTTGAACTCACTAAGCGTCACCGCTTATCCTATCAATGTTTAACAATTGCAGGTAATAAATAACTAGTATGTTTACATACTATTGAAAGATGTAGAATAGTTTGTAATAGTACTTTTGTACTACTTTTTATGTTTGTATAAATTACAATATCCTGGGTAGTTATGTAATATACATATATAACACTTTGTAATAGAAGGTTTGTATCCAATAGTTTGTAAATCCTTTATATCAATGTAAAATATTGCTTTTATGAATATGAAAATAGCATGTTTTGGAGTAACGATAATGTGAAATATGAAAGTTTGGGTCTTTCAAAAATACGAAAGTTGGGGTCTTTCAACCATGGTATCAAAGCAGTAGTTTAAGCGAACTAAATTCCACGGATTGGTATTTAGACTTAAACTATAGGAAGTTCAATATATGAACTTAATCACTGTAAGTATAGGGATACAAACCATAGGAAATATATAAGTAAAAGTATTAGGTAATAGTAAACCCTAATATTCTAAAATACTATCTTACTCCGTATTTCAGATCGATGGCTGAACAAGTAAGTAGCCATACCCCTGATGTTGGTGGAGATCCTCAACTCGAGGAAGTGAATGCTCCAGTATCTCCTCATGAGGAGCGACTTCTAGGTAAACTTACCGGTGTTATTTGACAAACTCTCGAAGAACACAAAAAGAATGATGAAGCATCCCTCGTTCAAAGATTTCAAGAGTAGTGGTGCTACGGAGTTTTCTGGTGTCCTTAATCCTATAATTGTTCTAACTTGGATTCAGAACACCGAGAAAGTATTTCGTGTTTCTCATGTGGATGATGAAGACAAGGCTATTTATGCTTCTGCAATGCTCATTAGAGAAGCTTTAGTCTGGTGGGAAGCAACATATGAAGCTCTCGATGGATGTGACCAGGAGAACTTATCCTGGGAGTTGTTCAAGACTCGTGTGCTAGAGAAGTATTGTCCTCTAGATATGAGGAGAAGATTGGAGAAGGAACTCCTCGAGCTTAAACAAGGAGGAATGACTGTGAATGAGTATGAAACTCAATTTAATCAAAGAGCAAGGTTTGCTACGAAGTATATTCCAACTGAAGACGAGAAAATTCAGTTATTCATGGAGGGACTACGATACGAAATCCATGATTTCGTTGTCAACCGGGATGTTCTGTCATTCGATAAAGCTGTTGAGTATGCTCGAAGGCGTGAGCATGACTTAGAAATACGTGGTGCCACTTTTACTATTCCAAAGCATCCACATACTGAAAGAACTACTCCTGCTTCCACTATTCCACCAGCTCAATCTATTCGAACTGATCCTAGCAAGCAAGCACAATCTCAGAGTGCTTTTCGTGGCCGTGGTAGGTTACAATCTTTTTCTATTCAATCACCGTCATGTCGCGTTTGTGGATGGAATCATCCAGATCAATGCAAAATAGACAAGGAATCCATTGTCTGTTATGGGTGTGGAGAAACAGGCCATATCAAGCCAAACTTGCCCAAGGAAGGATGTGACTTGTTATGCATGTGGTATTACTGGCCACAAGAAGCATTTTTGCCCTACTCTTACCAGCCAAGTGACGGGAAGTCAAGCTTCTGTTCAACAACCAGCGAGAAGTCAAGTCCCTGTCCAACAACCGAAGAATAC